AGCATTAGTTCAGCAGAAGTTTTAACATAAAATAGGTTAAGAAGGCAGGTAATTTATAAAACTGCTGACCAATTACCATCACATTGATGGTAACATAAAACTAGCATAAGCTATTAACAAAATACATATTTGCCTCCAGTAATATTGCATTCATTTAACATATTTAGGGATTTCCTTTGCTTTTAAATTTTATTTATTTATTTTTCCCCCAAATCCCCAGTAGATAGTTGTATGTCATAGCTGCACATCCTTCTAGTTGCCGTATGTGGGACGCGGCCTCAGCATGGCCGGAGAAGCGGTGCATCGGTGCGTGCCCAGGATCCGAACCCGGGCCGCCAGCAGCGGAGCATGCGCACTTAACCGCTAAGCCACGGGGCCGGCCCCTCCTTTGCTTTTAAAGAGATCTTGAAATTTAATGAAAATGTAAAAGTTTGCTGTTACCATTTGAATATAAATGTTATTTCATATATTTAGATCCAAGTTGACATACATTCAGAGATTAGTATTTTGTAAGCCGATTACAATTAGTTTGACAGTTTCTCTTCTCCCTTAATCATAAATATCTTTCTTTGGAAAGAGAAATGTGAAGCAAAAGTAGTACAGGAATATTCATACTTGAAGGCTTTATCTGTTTTTCTTTATTTAATCCTTGAAATCTCAGTAATAGGACTTATTGTAACTTTTCTTCATCTGTCTTCTTGTGGTCACTGGGGAAATGTTCCTAGTAGCTCTCATTCTTACTTTCAGAATCACTATCGGTGGGAGTGGGAAAGACAGTATTATTTATTTATATTTTGTTTGTTTATTTAAAAAAATGGAAAATGATATATGGTTACTAATTGTAAATGAATGCTACTTATTTAGGTAGAGCTAGAGAATGAAACTTTTTTCTCAGGCGCTTAAATTGTGAAATAGGTAAATGTTGTGAAATGTGAATCCAGAGAAATGAAACTATTAAAAGGAATTTGGTTTTAGTTGTACAGATTTTTTTTTAAATGAAGAATGACAATTGAGGAAGTAATCAAACTGAACTTGCTACGTTGTTCCCACAAATACACCAAAACCATTAAAATGAAATATTAGTTTCCTTTGATATTTAACTTGAATATTGAATACCTAACATACTAATTTGTTAATTTTTTTCTTTAAAATAGTGTTGTTTATTATTGATGCACTTTTTTTTCTTGGTTTATTTATTTTATTTGATGGCCTGAAAAGAATAGCAAATTTTGTTTGAAATGGTTTTTTTAAAGTTGAGTAAAAGATTTTTTTTGCTGATGTTGGGTATATGTATGTATGTATGTATTTCAGTTGGGTTTATTGTCAAATAATAGACCTACAGTACAATTCTCTCTATTTTAAAAGCAATTGGAAATATGAATATTTTAATGCATAGACAATGTTACTTTAAAATCCGCATGATCAGAAAGAGGTGTCAAATTATGCAAATAATGAAAAAATACTGAAGTTCTTTGAAAAAATACAGAACTTTTAAAACTACAGAGCAACAAATGAGGAAAGTACAATTACATTTAACATGTAGAACATTTTAGACAATAAAAGAATGATGTTTTCAATAAAATTATGTTAATAAAACTTTTAAAGCCATATCAGTAAGTTTTGAATATATGGCTTTAAAGGTGAAATAAGTTTAAAATAAAAACAGCATAATATAGTTGTGTCCATGAAATCTAAACATGAGTTATTTTACTATTGTAAAATATTGTAGATTTTGTACAAATACTAATACAATGCTTCCGAGTTTGTTTTCATTACACCGACAAGGAAAAACATCAAGAAAATACTCCCTCAAGCTGCATATTCTGCTACTGTTGGTTTCTTATAATGAAAACAACTGTGCAGACTTCGTATTAGTTTAATTGAAATAAATGTTTGTGGATTGTTTAATATATAAATAAATGTTTGTGGATTGTTTAATATATAAATGTAATTTTAATTCCGAGAATATTGTGAAAGACCTGGAAAATAAATTATAGGAACTGAAAGTAGTGTGGTCACTGTGTGTGTGTGTGTGTGTGTGTGTGTGCGTGTGTTAAACACATAAGATTTATGAAATCCATTTTCAGTGGATGACTTGCAAACTTTTTAAAAAGTAAAACTCTCCATTAAAAAGGCTGTTAACTTGTTTTCCTTGTAAGACATGCCAGCTAAAAATTAATTTAAAAAAAAAGGTAAAGGGAGGTTTCTAGTTCACTTATTTGGGTACAGTAACTCTTTTCCCTCAAATAAAGATTCTTGAAGCACCCTTAAGGATAATTGATGATGGGCACCCAGGCATCTGAAAGAACAAGGAGTCTCTTTTCCTTTGTTCTGTCTAATTTCTGTTAAAGACATTCTGCCCCAAAGGGATAAAATGGCTCCTTACTTTCATGATGTTCTTAAAAACATGATACCTTGAACTTCTGCAGGCTTAAATATTTTTATTATTTTGTATGTTAGGTGATCTGCATAATGTTTAATCATATTTTCTTTATATAAACCAATTGGTATAATCATACCCCTTTTCCTATTTAAATGTGTGTGTATGTATCTCTATAGTAGAAAAATACTATCAGTTTAAAATGATGGCACTATCATAGCTACTTGGTTTAAATAAATATGAGATTCTAAAGCCTTGAAGTTAAGATAAAAGAAAACAGGACACCACACCTTCTAAATACAACTCTTTGATAATCTTGAGTATACCATTTTATGCAAAAAACTAATTTTCTGTAATTCATATATTGAGGACTACATAAATGCTCTGACAGAAAAATGTTCCCATATATGTCTGATTTGGAAAATACAGTTATAGGAAGTATTGACTTTAAAATAAAATTTGTATAGGTTTTTGTTTTGTTTTGTTTTACTTTTTCTTAGCAATTGCATACCTTCTTACCTCTTATTAAAGTGGATTTGCTGTGAAGATAACAAAAGCTGTAAAGAAAGGCATTTTCCTGACTATATTTTTAACTCTTGGGCTATATTAATTAAAATTTCATAACTAGTTTGTAATCTAATAGTATCATTTGATATTTTAAAACTCAAAACATTTCTTTTTATTATGGCTTGGCAGTTTTTATTTAGTGTTTCTTTTTTTTTTTTTTAAGATTTTATTTATTTATTTATTTTCCCCCCAAAGCCCCAGTAGATAGTTGTATGTCATAGCTGCACATCCTTCTAGTTGCTGTATGTGGGACGCGGCCTCAGCATGGCCGGAGAAGTGGTGTGTCGGTGCGCACCTGGGATCCGAACCCGGGCCGCCAGCATCGGAGCGCACGCACTTAACCGCTAAGCCACTGGGCCGGCCCTATTTAGTGTTTCTAATGAATTACAAATTTAGTAATTTGGGGATTAATTGTATAAGTTGTTCAAAATAACTGGAAGTGTAATTTGTTTTAAAATAAGTTATATACGAATACTCATTTCATTATGTATTCTTAAACGGGTTTTTAATCAATAAAATCAGTATTACACACTTAATGCAATGGGTGTTAAGAAAAAAATTAAATCTTCAGTTAGAAATGTGAGTAAAAATAGTGCCCTTTGCTGTAGTAGTTCTGTTGTTTAAAAATATTAAATCTGATATAATTAACTTACTAAAAAAGCAAGCCTAATACCCAAAAGAAAAATTCTCCCTTTGGAAATAAATTGTAAAATTACAAAATTGCATTGTAGAATTTAGTTAATGATTAACTTTGAGAGCCTATGTATTTAAACTTGCAAGTGTTTATGATGACCGTCAATATCTTTTAAAATGTACCTTATTGGTTTAATTCCTTTGACTTTCTCACCATCCTCAGCAAATAAGTAGAAGGAAGGTTTTTTTTTTTTTTTTAATTTCAGTATTCACTGTTGTGGTAATTTGACAAAGCTATTCTACATAATATTATTTGTTAAAGTGTTGTGTTGCTGTTGTTTTAAGTAGGAATACACAACTTCTGTGGAGAAGTGCTTTGAACTCTGTTCCTATTCTATGAAGGAACCTTCTGTCTTTTATATTTTCAGCTTTCTATAAGATTGTTGCCTACTAGAGTATTGAACTAAAGAGAGAAGAAGAGGTTCTATGATATGAATACTTTTTAAAAAGACATTCATACATTAGATAATATTTTTTATCATCTCAATTATTTTCATTGAAATTTTGTTTGGAGCATATACCATTTGAAAACCAGAAGAGCATTAGAGTCAAATTTCAGATTGGTACTTTTAAGAAAAAATATATACGTAAATATGATTGTAGCATCAACATGCTGGAAGAAGAAAAGCATGGATATAAACTAGCCAACCACATGCATGTTTCAGCATGGGAGGTGGCATAGTGAAATAAAAAGAGCACTGATTTCAGAGTCTGAAGAATCTGCTCTAGCTATACCCCAGGATTATTGAAAGGCTCAAGTAAAATGTTTATGAAAACATTTTATAAAACTAGCACAAGCTGTGCAAATGTAGAACGTTATTTTGCTTTTGGGGGTAATAAATGCTTAGTTATTACCACATAACTGTTTTGTGCTTTTTTTCCGTCTTCTGGCTAGTGATTAGCAGAGGTGTCTTCATTGGCTGTCTTGAAAAATCCTATGATTTCCTACCCTAATATTAATCAGGGAATAAATCTGGCAAGTTGAGAAGGAAAGAGAGAGAGAGAGATGATAGGCCAGTATTTCCAAAAGAATGAGTTGGTTCGTGATTAGTTTATAACATTTAGTTCATCCCTAGATAATCCAGAGAGAATCCAAAAAATAAAGTAACGATGTTTTGGCTTATTCTTGAAATATGGTATAAGTTTATCTTTAAGGATGTAATTATTGTTCTGTCAAGATTTTATTTGCATGTTTACCAGTGCAACCTGCTGTGATTTTTTTTAAATCATTTATCTTACTCATTAAATGAATCAATGCTTTCAGATTGTGAAACATTTAATATTATAAACTCTATAAAAAGCCATCTTTCCTTCTTTCTTGTACTTTTCATTAATGTTTTGATATCTTCCTTTTCTACAGGACTTTGCCTCCCGGGCTAAACTAGCAGTTCAAAACCTAGTACAGAAGGTTGGATTTTTTGGAATTTTGGCCTGTGCTTCAGTAAGTGCATTGTATTAAAAGTGAGAAATTCCAGTAAATGGTAGATTTATGTTTTGATCCAATTTGGTTTTAAAGATACATGCCTGAATGAACAAAAATACTTTCACTTTTAATGGGTATGTAATTTTAGTAATCATTCATCTTATTCATCAAATGAACTATTTTCTGTTGGATAGGTTCATATCTTGCTTATTGACTTTTAAGCATTTCATCATGCCATGATGACTTCAGACCTAAACGGCTTGATTCAGTGAGAACAAAAGACAAACTCCATCCTTCCCATGAAGAATTTATAATGAAGTGCATTTAACCAAATAACAATGACTTCATTCTTTCCAGAGTTACACATAGGTAGTCTTTTTCCAAAGTTTCAAGCATTAGCATTAGTTATAAGGAAGAATTCATATAAAACCTGTCTTAAGTGACATTTACACCTAGATAGGTAATTGAAACATCTGTGTCAAAGTTAAGGGCATCTTTGGCTATAGTGAACTAAGAAGCCATTTTTGTCAAAAACTTAATGTCTCAAATTGCAGATTTGTGAAACTCACATTCCTTGATGAGTTAGTGTTTATCCTGGTTCTTTTCTAATAAAATAGAAACAGTTATATTTGAAATGGAGCGTTTTGATTAAAGTTTTCTTTGGTAGCCTGTACACAATTGTTGTTAGTTCAGTGGTGGATTTGGCCAGAATAACTAGGTGCACCTAGTTGATATGATGAAAAAGCTGCAATTATAAGTAAAATTCCCAAAATTTTATTGTCCACTGGAACAGAGCTCCTTTATCCATTATGTACTAGAACATGAATACATCTTTGAGTATGCCCTTTCCCCCTGTTTCTAATGTGATGTCAACATTCTAGAGATGTTCTAAAATATACGTGTGCTGAATTACTATCCTTTGACCCTGGCAATACTAGAAATTTTCATAATTAACTTCATTGATCTCAACTATTTGAGCAATTTATAGGTATGTTGTAGTGTGATGATATATAGTGAAAAGAGAGTTGGCTTTAGAGTCAGGCTTACTTAGGTTCCTGAACGAGTTTTGCTTCTTATTAGCTATATAACCTCAGTCAGGTTACTCCCTTTGAGCCCTAGTTTTCTAATTTTTAAAATGGGGCAATAAGACACTCATTGCAAAGGCTGATGTAAGGATTGGAGCTAATACATGTGAACTAACACAATG